ACGGAGATCCCAATATCCACACCAGCCCAAAATATCAGATTGTCATTCTCCTTTTTTGGGAAGATTACACGTTGTACCATGACCACAAAAAATTTATGGTAACAAGCCACACTCATATTCGAAGAAGGTACTGATATGTCACAATTGGACCAAGTGCACAGATACTTTGTGCTCAAAGATATGGTTAGAGTACACCGTTGCACCCTCGAAAATATGGCCATTAGAGAAAAATCAAAATTCTCACTCAAACTTACTAAACTCCCCAAAGACACGAATGGAAGACAATTGACCCCTATTGGCAAAGCCGTAAACGCTACAGCATTTGTTATACCAAAATCTAAAGCTATTTACCGTAATTTGCAATATACAGTTTTCTACTTCAAGAATGACGAAGACCACCAAGCAGCACTGAATGAAGATACCATCTTCTTGGATCGCAAGAGGCTAATTTGAACAGATCCGGCTAGCAAACTTTGCTTTATATTTTTGGTACTAGGACATCGATCAGATAACTGTCGGAAAGCAAGACAAACACCCAAAGATAGACAAATGCAAAATCTCTATCAAAGATATCAACTGGCACAATTCAAGAACTATACTGCGCCTAGCAAACCCGTTTCAAAGTCGATCTCATTCACTCACATGACTAATAATGGAAAGGGAAAAGTACCAGATACCCCTCAACCACAACCAAAAAAGATTTTGCCACGTCCTCCTATCAATAATAGTAGACCAAATGGGGAAAATTCTTTCAACGCAAGCATTCATGCACTGAACGATTGGGTAGATGAATCAGAATACCTCCACCCAAATTCTAAAGGTTACGCCAAACCCATTAACGATATCAATGACCACGAACAATCTGATAGAATGGACCTTCTAATGACTAAACTAGACGTAGTCTCAACACAATTAGGTCGTCTTCATGAGGATCTATAATTCACCGATGAAAGAGTTTCTACTATGGAATCCCTTCTTAAAATATATTCAACTTCTCTAAAACAAGCTGCCATCATCAATGCTCAACCTACAGGTGAAAATATGGAAGAAGAAGACTACATTGTACGACCTGATATAGATATATCTGAATCTGTAATTACTACCCAAAAAATCGATTTTAAAACCCTCCAAGATGAAAATCTACACCTTAAACACAACCTGCAAGCAAATGTCGATAAACTGAATGAGGCCTTTAAAGTAGTAGACATGATGCAACACCTAATGATCAATGCAGGACAACTACATGATAGTCGTCGTATTCTGGTTGTCATGTTAGAAAAACCTAAAGATTTTTATGATGTAGAAGAGGAATTCCCACCCCAACAATCCCAATTTTAATTATGAATAATACAATAATTGATCCTTTTAACATAGTACCTAATCGACCAAA